GAGGACACATATGGACTACAATTCCCAAGAGCCCCTTTGCTCAGACTACTAGGATTCCCCAGAGTCTATAAGGAACCTGCCATTCCAATGAGCTGCTAGTGTAGACAAATAACAGTTTTCCCTAAATTCTCTGATTACCTCTGAACTCCGCTAGGGTGGAAGAGTCTACAGATCTAACAAATTCTTGGGACAGTCAAGACAGAGAGAGAGAGACCCCCAGGGTCTCTAAGCACCCCCAAGGAAGAATCATTATCATCACAGCTAATACTTATTAGGTGCTTTACCATGTACTAGGCACTACACTTAGCTCTCACTTATTTAATTCTTGTGAGGTAGGTATTATTAATGTCCCCATTTTACAGATAACAATAATTATAGCTAACATTTAAATATTTCTTACCATCTACCAGGTACCTAACTTTTAAATATTCACAAACATATGATATATACATGATATATATAGAAAATATATTACATAATATATAAGTGTTAAATCATCACTCATTTAATATATGTTATATATATATAAATATATATATAACATATATAATCTATATATTTATATAGATTATATGTTTAAATATGTATGTATTTAAGAAATTTTTACAATGACTGTATGTACTAAATACTATTTTTATCATTTCAAGTTCATAGAAGAGACATCTGAGGGGGCAACTGGGTAGCTCAGCCGGTTGAGCGTCTGACTCTTGATTTCGGTTCGGGTCATGATCTCACTGTTTGTGAAATGAAGCCCCGGGTCAGGCTGTGCACTGGCTGTCGAACCTGCTTAAGATTCTCTCTCTCCTTCTCTGTCTACTCGTCTTCTCTCTCTCTCAAAACAAAAAAAAAAAAAAAAAAAAAAAGAGAGAGAGAGAGAGAAAGAGAGAGAGAGGCATCTAAGGCTCAGAGGGGTCAAGTAACTTTTCTAAGGTCACACAGCAGGAGCTGAGATTCAAAACCAGGAAGCCCATGTCAAATTCACCCTCTCAAACCACTAAATTAAGTCTGCTGTTTGTTGGCTGTTTGCCCCTCACTCTCTAAGACCGTCAAGATGACTGGTTTAAAACCTGGAAAGAGGGGAATGCTCAAGAACCACCTTCCCATAAGCCTCTGCTGGCAGGTCCCCTTCACTGACAACTTGTAGCGTCCTCAGGCCTCCTGGGAGGGCATGCTCCTTCCTAGACGCTCACCTGAGTCAGGTGACAGAGAGTGGCCCTCACACTGACCAGTCGGTCCTGCAGGAGGCGCTGGCGCCCCCAGGCCCTCCCCGGAGCCGCGGCCTCCCTGGTTGTTTGGCTCAGCTGCTGCCTGGTCAACTCCAAGGCTGCTTCTAGCTGCTCCTGCACCGAGACGGAAGGTGGTTCAACTTCTGAATCCACGTACAGCCCCAGAGAGAGAGAGACGGTGTCCTCCCAAATCCTGGGGCACGCTGGGGCTCAGGAAGGGAGAGATGGGTGGAGAGGCCAAGAGTCCTCCCCCGTTTCAGAGCCTCATACCTTCTCCTCTTGCCTCTGGTCTATCTCCTCCTGTAGCCTCCTCAGGAGCCGGTCCTGCCCACACAACTTGGTCAACAGAGTCTGGAAAGAGGAGGACAGGAGCTATTTATGGACCAGATCTGGCTCTTCCCCTGTCCTCCCTGCGGCCACGGCCACCACCACCGCCACCATCTAAAGTGTTCTCTTCCCGCCTCTGAGAACTCGGCAGGGGTTGGGCCAGGGAGGACTTACATCTGTCTCCAAGCTTTGGTGAAAAGCTGAGTCTAGGGGGGGACCCGGCTGAGGAGAAAGAGAAAAGCCAGGGGTCACATGGACAGACAGGTCTTTGTTGTAGCTCAGTGCTGAATCAAGCCCTGTTTCTAATGACAGACACCTTTCTCCTTACTAGCTTTGTTCCAAGCTTTAGCAAACCTCAGTAGACCAACCGCCAGATTCTTGGCTTTAGGGAGATCCAATGGGCTCTGTTACCAAACAGCTATAGCCATGTTATGACTCGGGGAGAAAATTCAGACATTCCTTTTTTATTTTTTTTTTTAATTTAAAAACTTTTTTTTTGAAACGTTTATTTACTTTTGAGAGACAGAGAGAGACAGAGCACGAGCAGGGAAGGAAGGGGCAGAGAGACAGAGGGAGACACAGAATCCAAGGCAGGTTCCAGGCTCCGAGCCATCAGCACAGAGCCCGATGCGGGGCTGGAACTCACAGACCGTGAGATCATGACCTGAGCCGAAGTCGGACGCTCAACCGACGGAGCCACCCAGGCGCCGCACAGACATTTCTTTTACAAGAGAAAATAAAATAAGGATGCTCACTACTACTGTTACAGTTTCACACAGTAGTAGAGATCTTGACCGATGCTATTAGAAAAGAAAAAGAAAACAAAACGAAGTGTAAGGATAGGAAAGGGAAAAGTAAAACCACTATTATTTACAGATGATATGCTCACCTACCCAGAGAAACCAACAAAATCAAAGAGTGATCAGAATAAGAGAATTCAGGAGCGCCTGGCTGGCTCAATGAGTGGAGAGCATGTGACTCTTGGTCTTGGGGTTTGTGAGTTCAAGCCCCACGATGGGTGTAGACATTACTTAAAAATATATAAAATAAAAAATAAAAAATAAATAAATAAAAAATAAGAGAATTCAGAAAGGATCCCAGAGGAAAGATGACGTTCCAAACATCAATCATATATCTCTATACCATCCATAGCTAGAAAACAATTAAAAAAAAAAAAAAAAAAAAAAAAAAAGGCGGCGGGGGGCACCTGGGTGGCTCAGTTGGTTAAGCGTCCAACTTCAGCTCAGGTCATGATCTCACGGTCCGTGAGTTCGAGTCCCACGTTGGGCTCTGTGCTGCCAGTTCAGAGCCTGGAGCCCGCTCTGCATTCTGTGTCTCCCTTTCTCTCTGCCCCTCCCCCCCTCATGCTCTGTCTCTCTATCAAAAAATGAATAAACGTTAAAAAAAAAAAAAAAAGAAAAAGATACCATTCAAATAGCTATAAAAACTATCAGGAATTTAGGAATTACCTTAACTAAGAGCACACAAGATCCCTGCAGAAAAAAACTTAAAACTCAAATATATACCCGGAAGATGATATGAATGAATGGAGAGATATCCTATATGCATGCCACCCAGTTTGCAACAGTCTTGGGAAACTCACAGAAGAGTCTGCCAAGGGACCTGGAAATACCCAGTCTTCTCTAGGCACACAAGTCCGGGAGATGACATTCTCCATAGCAAAGAAAGCAAGGAAGGGGGCTCTGGCAGATTCAAGGTGCTCCAGGACACCTACCAATAAAACCATGGAAGCCCGGGTCCCGGGAGCTCTCGGGGGGAGCTGGAGATACGTGGAGCCAGAGGGGGCCTGGGAGGAATATCGAAACAGAGATGGTTAGAAATTGGCATGTTTTGGTAACAAATATTAGAGTGGATGTGTCCAGAATTGATGTGACTCAGGAGACTCACTGAGGTTCAGAACTGAGCCCCAAAACTTTCTCAACTACCTGTCCTCCAGCTATGTGCCACCGTGGGGACACATAGGATGATACTAATGGGACAAGCCTGGCAAAACAGCCCCAGGGACCAAAGGAAGTTGTAATCTACTCTCACTCTCACATCTTTGGTGAACTGTAGATATTCTGGGCTACAATCCCATGATGCTCAGAGAAAAACAGCAAGTGAACATCTTGGAAAGAAACTGGAGACACAAGACAGATGTAATCCACACTGCTTCTCCCAGCATGGTCTTGCAGGACAGTATTTTGGACTACAATCCCCATAATACTTAAGGGGTAATGGCCAGAGACCAGCCCGAAAAGACAGCCCTGAGGACTGATGGGAGATGAAGTTCACTTCCCCTCACATCTGAACCCAGCTGTGATTATGCTGAACCACAATCCCCATGATGCTCAAGGGGCCATGGCCCGCAGACCAGCCTGGAAAGACAGCCCGTAGCCATATGGGAAATGTAGTCCCCCTCCCCATTACCTCTCTGCTGACCTGTGTTCTGGCCTCCTGACTCCAGTGCTGGGGACTCCTGGGGGGTCTTCCTCCCCCAGCCTCAGAGGAAGGTCCTCTCCGGGGAGTGGGGGGCCTAGAGAGTGTCTGGCGCTGGGGGCCCCAATCCAGGGCAGGCCGGACATCGATGCGACTCAGAGGGGTATGGGGTCTGGCAAGAGGTGCTATGTCACCCGAGGTCGGAGGGGGTCTACGCGCAGGAGCAGAACGGGGCCGGGGGAGGCTCAGAGGGGATGGAGGGCGAGAGAGGGGTGTGAACAGGCTGTTGGGAAGAGAGAATAGGGGAACTAGGTCAACTCGAGCCCCTTCACCCCACTACCCACCCAGTCATCATGTGTGCGTCTCCTTCCAATGTGTCTGACGGTCCCTCTGGAGTAGAACTCCCCTCTATTAGCCAGAGCATGAATATTTTCCCCCTTTGTGGCATCTCCTCCTTAGGACTTGCCCCCTATGGGTTCTGACCCCATAAGATCTCCAGCAACTCCCACCTACTCAAGAAAGAAAGCTCTAAGTCTTAGGGGAAGCAGTCCCAGTCCCTGCCCTCCTCTTAGGCCACGCCCCCAACTTTTTTCTTTTTCTTTTTTTCCCTTTTCTTCCCCCCCCCC